TGGGTATGTGCCTCCAGCTTTTGCTGGGCACTGCCCCCGAGCTCAACCTGCTGCCTGGCAGCCCGCCATGCTGGCTTCCCCCCTCCCAGCTGCCGCCCCGCTGCTGCTGGCCCCCACTCCTGGCGCCGCCCTGCCGCGCGGCTGGCCCTGCTCTGAGCGGGCCCCGCCTCCGTCTCCCTTCCGCCACCGCCGGGCGTCGCCCTCTCGCCCCCTTTCGCGCATCGCGGCCTAACTCGCGTTCGTTTATCCTACGACGCCCTATCCGCCAGCGCAGTCCCTTTGCCTAGCCGCCGACCGAACAAGTGTGTGTGTGTGTGCTTTGTGTGTGTGTGTTGTGTGTGTGTGTGTGTGTGTGCGTGTGTGTGTGTGTGTGTGCGTGTGTGTGTGTGTGTGTTGGTGTGTGCGTGTGTTGTTCTTTCGTCAGAGGAGTAAGGGGTGCCAGGAAGTAGCCAAGCGCACCGCTGATGCTCCATGACATGCGTGCGCCCTTGCGTCCCGAGCCCCAGCCTCGCCAGTCGATGCAAGCGCTCCCCATTTCACGGTGCACGGCGCGGGGCCGCTGGAGGGAACTCGAGCACACAGCGCCTCAGACCCGGCAGTGGATCGATCTCCGGGGGCCTCGGCAGGCCGTGGGTCTGGATACATCGGCGCTCCGAAAGTCTATTCCGATTTGAGAAGCACGGCGCCGCGCGAATGCAGCGCAAACGCTATGCCGGAAGGGCGCGGTAATTCATGCCCCTTGGACAGGCGCGAGCAGCCGTGCCCCCGTGCGAACCCCGATCCCGCGCGGGGCGCGTTCCCGTTGACAATGGTTCACCCGGGAAACCACCCCGCGCACCCCTCGCGCGGCGGTGTCCGAGGCGCTCGCCGCTCCAGCGTGCGGTCGGGCCGAGGGCGGCGAGGTGGGGGTCGCCCGAGGGGGCGCGGGGAGGAGGGAGTCGCACGCCGCGGCGTTGACCGCAGCGGGCGGGGCGGGGCAGCGTGGAGAGCGTGGTCCGAGGCGGGGATTTGTCCATGACCACCGCCCGAGGGACCGATCCGCGGGGACTTCGGCAGGCGGTGGATATGGATGTGTTGGGTGCCCTGGGGCCGAGCTACAACATATATATGTATATATATATACACATAGTTATATATATATATATATATATATATATATATATATATATATTCACCTACATACATACACACGTACATGCATGCATACATACATACATACATACGTACATGCATGCATGCATGCATGGATGCATACATACATACAGGTACACCTACATACATGCATACATACATACTTACATACTTACATACACATATACATACATACATGTACATATTTGCATACACGCATACACACATACACACATACACACGTACATGCATTCATGCGTACGTGTATACATGCATGCATACATACATACACACATACATACGTACACATATACATTCACACATATATATACACACCCGAATACGCGGAAACCCCAGGACGTCGGTTCCACGGGTGGTGGTTGCGGAGATATGCCTCCGCCTCGCACGTGGAGCGCGATGGCGCTTCGCGCGGCTCTCGGACTCGCGAGGGCGGGCGATCATTTTGGATCGAGCCTCAATATCGTTTAGTCGATCCCTGTCCCCCCACCCCAATCCCTATCCAGACCCCCGCCATTTCAGCACCCCCGTTGAGGATTCACCCCTCGAGTCCCGCAGGAGACTGCCCATATCCCCATTTAAGCGGGTAAATCGGTTAGTGGGGCCCAGGCCACGCCGTGGGGGGTTGGGGTCCGAGCAAGAGTGCTCATTTCAAGCGACCAGGGGGAAGAGGCTGCGCGTTCCGCCCCGTGGGGGCTCCTCTCGGCGGCGCGCCCGAGGGGGGAAGTGAGAAGGAGAATGCCCTCTCAGAAGGCGGCGGGGTTTCTCAAAAGCCCTCCAGCCTTCCGCCGGCGCGGACGCCGACGCCGATGCCGACGCGGGCGCCGACGTCGATGTCGACGCCGATGCGGGCGCCGATGTGGACGCCGACGCGGACGCGGACGCCGTCGCCGACGCCGGCGCCGACGCCGACGCCGACGCCGATGCCGACGCCGACGCGGACGCGGACGCCGTCGCCGACGCCGACGACGACGCCGACGCCGACGCCGATGCCGACGCCGACGCCGACGCCGACGACGCCGACGACGCCGACGACGCTGACGCCGACGCCAACGCCGACGCCGACGCCGACGCCGCCGCCGCCGCCGCCGACGACGACGACGACGACGACGTCAACGAGGTCAACGGCAACGACGACGACGACGACGACGACGCCAAGCGGCGACAACGCCGAGCGGCGACAAGAGCAGGGCGGGAGGGTGAGGGGCGAGGAGGGGCGGCGTGGAGCGGCGGGAGGACTACAGGACCAGGACTGGGGGTGGTGAGCCTGCGGTGCGCACTCCTGCGCCGATCCTGGCCAGGGCCCATCCTGATGCCCAGGATCGGTGCATCCCTCCTGCGCTAGCCCTGGGCGGACGAGCTTCTTCCTTGCACGGCGGCCAGCCGACGCCTCTTCGCCTCTTCGCCCGACGTCTCTTCGCCGAGAAAAGTGGCGCTTGCAGCGCGCTGGTCCCCCCCTCGATGCGAGGGCCCGGTGGCCGCTCCAGCGGGGCCTGCCACCCCCTCCCCCTCCCTTTCGCCGTCCCCCTCCTCCTCCTATTCGTCGTCCTCCTCCTCCTCCTCCTCCTCCTCCTCCTCCTCCTCCTCCTCCTCCTCCTCCAGCGCCAGCTCGGGTCGAGCCTCCGCTCGTTCCGAGCCCGCGCCGCGGGAGTCCTTCTGCTCCTCCCCCCCGTCGCCGCGGGCCGTCATCCCTCCCTTCGCCTCCTTGCGCGCGATATGGGCGGATGCCGACGGCGGGCGCCGGCGTTGCCCTAATCTGTTCGCGGCCGGATGTATGGAATAGTATTGGTGCGCGGAGGCGTGGGTGAGGTGTGGGACGCGTTAGCGGCGGTCGTGGGTCACCGTGGGTTCGCCGCCACCCGCCTCAGCACGGCCTTCGCGGAGGCGCTCGCGCGGGCGGACGGCCCTGGCGATGCCGGAGGTGGCGGCGCGCAAGCCGGAGCAGATGACGCCGCTGAGATCGACGCCGAGCTCGCGCAGCTCCGCGCCTCGGCCGCGTCGCACGTCCTGTTGCGCCAGGGCGGTGCCGTGCAGGCGCGGTGGTCCTGCCGCCTGCGCTTGGCCCGACGGTCGGCGTGGACGTGGCTGCCATCGAAGAGGTGTCTTTCAAACGGCTGCACTCCTTCGCCGAGGAGACGGAGGCCGACGTGCGCGCACTGGAGCACATGGCCGCGCCTGGCACCCTTCCCTCAGGCTCGCGGGCAAGGAGCAAGGGCAGTAGGAAGGTCGACGCCGCCGAGCGGGCCAGGCAGGAGCTCAGCCTGGCCTCCGCCGAGCGCCGCGAGGTGGAGGCCCAGCTCGCAGCCGCCCGCGCCGCGGCGGCTGGTATGGAGAGTGGAGTGGCAGGGTCGTCACGTGGGACGCCGGCGGCACGTTGTGCTGGAAGCCCGCTTGCCGCCGTGGCCGCCGCGATGCTGCCGCCCAAGGCCGTCTTTCCGTGGCAGCGGGCCGCTCCTCGGGCCGCCGCAGCGTGATGGAGGCATGGCTGCCCTTCGAGGCAGTGGCCCGCTCCTCGGGGCGCCTCGGCCTGTTTTCGGGCTGTGTCTCAGCGGCAGTGGCCCGCTCATCGGGGCGCCGCGCGCAGCGATGAGCGTTGCTACCAGCGGTAGTGGCCCGCTCCTCGGGGCGCCGCAGCGTGATGGAGGTATGACTTCCCTCGGGGGCAGTGGCCCGCTCCTCGGGGTGCCTCGGCATGTTTTCGGGCACTGCGCCACCGGCAAAGGGCCGTTCATCAGGGCGCCGCAGCGTGACGAGGCATGGCCACCCTCCGAGGCAGTGGCCCGCTCCTCGGGGCGCCTCGGCACGTTTCCGGGAAGTGCATCATCGGCAGTGGCCCGCTCATCGGGGCGCCGCATGTAGCTGTGGGCGGTGCGCCAGCGGCATTGGCCCGCTCCTCGGGGCGCCGCTTTTCGACGACGAGCGCCCTTTCATCCCTGCGGCAGTGGCCCGCTCATCGGGGCGCCGCATTCAGTTTGTGGTCCTTTGACGCCGTAGGCCTTCCCGCGCAGAGCGCGGGGGCGGGGCGCGTCGGCCCGACCGACGCGGTTCCGCTCCGCTCTCATCTCATATCATCTCCTCTCCTCCTCTTCCTCCTCCTCCTCCTCCTCCTCCTCCGCTGTCAGTCGAACTTCGGCCAGGTGTTGATTTGTTTCGTCCGCCTGCAAATTCGCTTCCGATACCATTTCTCACATTCCGTCTCTTCTCCTCGGCCTCCCCTTTGCGTTTGTGCCTTCTCGTGGTCTAGCAGCGGGCCGTGAGGGACCATTTTGAGTGAGTTGTCTGCGCTTGACGCGCGCGTCGGCAGTCCAGACCCCGGTATGCCGTGTTTCGTGCCCTAGATGCTTTCGACGAGAAAAATCGAAGATCGCTGCTCGGAACGGGGGGGAACTTGACAACGGACCCCGCCGTTTAAACGTGAAACGAAAGCTTGGGGGGATCAGGGGCAAGGATCGTTCCCTTGCTGTGGTAAAGCTCTGGGTCGAAGAGTCTGCGGCGGAGACGAAGTTGGAGCCCTCCTGCGGCGCGCAACAGCCAGAGAAGAAGTGGGGGGCAGCAGAGCGCCCGTACAGCGAAGGGGCTGGCTCGTGCAGCCTCTGCTGTGTGCTTTCGCGATCGCTGGGGGTTCCTCCAGGCCTCCTGGCGGCTCGAACCGAAGTCGCGCCCGAGCTTCCCCGCTGCGTTCGGCGTCCTGAGGCCGGGTCTATAGCCCTGGTCCCGGGGGGTGCGGTCGAGGGTTCCCGGGGTCTCGCGTGCAGAGGGGGCGGCGTCGGCTGTTTTAGGGATACCTCGGAAGCAAGCACTCGCGCTCTCTCTCTCTCTCTCTCGATCTTGCCGGGGAGTGCCGCTGCCAGGTCTGCAACAACACAGAGACCGTCGAGATGGAGGGCGAGGACCACAGGAACGAGGCCCTCTGCATCTACCGGCACGACGTGCTTTTCGTCGCCAAGGCAGCACCCCGGCTTCCCGAGCGCCCCGCTCGCCGCTTCGTTATTCCGCCTGTGCTTGCGATGCCACGCTTCTTGCCAGGGGGAGGGGGGAAACAGGAGGAGGAGGAGGAGGAGGAGGAGGAGGAGGAGGAGGAGGACTGCTGCGCTGGATATCTCGACTCCTGATTGCCTCTCAGCCGTCTCTTGGCCCCCCGATATCGACAACTGAGCTCTGCTCACGGCAGGCTTCGGGCCAGCTTGGCCGCTTTTAGGGCTGGGATGTGGTCGAAGCGATGCTTTCTGCTTTGGGGTGGCGCACTCGCCTCCGCGCCAGCCCGATGTGTGCTGCGCCTCAAGTCTGCCGAACCTCCTAGTTCGGAGCGTAACGGCGAAAGAGGCAGCGAGGCATGTGCAGAAACGGCAATCGGTAGTGAGACGGAGTGGAAGATGGGCACAGGAGACAGAAGCTTTGTGCTGGTGTCGGTGTAGCATATTCTTTCAGTCACCCTTTCGTGCAGTTGTACGTGCAGCCACCTCCTAGTCTCTATGATCCAATCATCTTCAGTGCGCGTGCGTATGCACTCAACCCTCAGCATCGACAGTAGCGTTACGAAAACTCCTTGCACCAGTGCACGCAAGCGTGTGGCATGCTCAGGCACAGTAGTTTGTCCCGTTCATGGCCGCTGCGCTTGAAGTAAGATCTCACCCCCGTCTTCCAGGAAGCCATCATTGTCCAGCCAGACGTCATTTATGACCCGACTCTGCCGCGCATTTACGACTACAAGTGCCACGTGTGCTCTCACAACGAGGCAGCTGCTGCCCAGCGCCGCAGTCGCCCTCCCGTCCCTGCTTCGAGAGCGGGGCGCAGAAGGACGTAACCCCGTGCCTCGGATAATACATAGTGTTCGATTCTTTCCGGCCAAGGCAGAGAGTCGGTTGGGGTAGAGGGGCGGCGAGGCCGAATTTCATTCTCGCCGAGGAAATTGCGAATCGAACTTGTTCCCGGAAAGGGCCTGGGCCCAGGGTTCTCTTTTAGTGGGTAAACCTGTCCCCCGGTGCCAACTTGAAGGAGGCCGGCGAATTTTTTCCCTGATAAATAACGAGGTCGAAGGAGGCCGGCGAATTAAAATTTGAGGATGTCTCGAGCGAAACGCTTGTTTTTGAAATCCCGATCGATAAATCACAGGGTGCGGGCCACTTTTTCGTGTGTTGAGGATGTCTCGAGCGAAACGCTTGCTCCGCAGAGTTTGCCGAGGATGTCTCGAGCGAAACGCTTGTTTTGCAGAGCCGACCGCGACGCGGAAAAGCGCCCCGCGCGAAGGAATTTCGATGATGTCTCGACTAATTCGTTTGTCCCCGGAAAGGGCATAGGCCCAGGGTTCTCTTTTAGTAGGTAAACCTGTCCCCCGGTGCCAACTTGAGGGAGGCCGGCGAATTTTTTCCCTGATAAATAACGAGGTCGAAGGAGGCCGGCGAATTAAAATTTGAGGATGTCTCGAGCGAAACGCTTGTTTTTGAAATCCCGATCGATAAATCACAGGGTGCGGGCCACTTTTTCGTGTGTTGAGGATGTCTCGAGCGAAACGCTTGCTCCGCAGAGTTTGCCGAGGATGTCTCGAGCGAAACGCTTGTTTTGCAGAGCCGACCGCGACGCGGAAAAGCGCCCCGCGCGAAGGAATTTCGATGATGTCTCGACTAATTCGTTTGTTTTTGTACGATTTCCTGGAATTTTGGCAGGATGTCTCGAGCGAAATGCACGACCCCACCCTAGCACGACCATACCCCAGCACGACCACACCCCAGCACGACCAGACCCCAGCACGACCCCACCCCAGCACGACCCCACCCCAGCACGACCATACCCCAGCACGACCACACCCCAGCACGACCCGACCCAGCACGACCCTACCCCAGCAAGACCACACCCCAGCACGACCACACCCCAGCACGACCTCACCACAGCACGACCACAACCCCAGACGACCCCACCCCACACGACACGGCCCAGCACGACCACGCCCCAGCCGACCACGCCCCGCACGACCACCTCCAGCCCGACCACAACCCCCAGCACGACCACCCCCCAGCACGACCACGCCCCACACGACCACACCCCAGCACGACCACTCCCCAGCCGACCACAACCCCAGCACGACCACACCCCGCACGACCACACCCGCACTACCACCCCCAGCACTACCCCCCCCATCACGACCGCCACCCAGCACGACCACCCTAGCACGACCACACCCCAGCACGACCACCCCCCACACGACCCCACCCTAGCACGACCATACCCCAGCACGACCACACCCCAGCACGACCAGACCCCAGCACGACCCCACCCCAGCACGACCCCACCCCAGCACGACCATACCCCAGCACGACCACACCCCAGCACGACCCGACCCCAGCACGACCACACCCCAGCACGACCACTCCCCAGCACGACCACACCGCCTTGGTTGAGTGGTTGCCTGTCGTCGTGGAATGTTTCGTGGGGTGTCTCGTGGAATGTTTCGCGGGGTGTCTCCTGGAATGTTTCGTGAGGTGTCTCGCGGAATGTTTCTTGAGGTGTCTCGTGGGATGTTTCGTGAGGTGTCTCGTGGGATGTTTCGTGAGGTGTTGCCCCGTTGGGTATCGTGAAAACGTGCCCATGCTCCACATGTCTATATCCTTTCCGGTTCGTGGGTCCACTTGTTTTTGTACGATTCCTGGAATTTTGGCAATTCTCGAGCGAAATGCACGACCCCACCCTACACGACCATACCCCAGCACGACCACACCTCCAGCACGACCAGACCAGCCCGACCACCCAGCACGACCCCACCCAGCACGACCATACCCCAGCACGACCACACCCCAGCACGACCCGACCGCAGCACGAGCACGCCCCAGCAAGACCACACCCCAGCACGACCACACCCCAGCACTACCTCACCACAGCACGACCACACCCCAGCACGACCACGCCCCAGCACGACCACGCCCCAGCACGACCACGCCCCAGCACGACCACGCCCCAGCACGACCACGCCCCAGCACGACCACCCCCCAGCACGACCACTCCCCCAGCACGACCACCCCCCAGCACGACCACCCCCCAGCACGACCACTCCCCAGCACGACCACACCCCAGCACGACCACACCCCAGCACGACCACACCCCAGCACGACCACACCCCAGCACGACCACACCCCAGCACGACCCGATCGATAAATCACAGGGTGCGGAGCACCCCAGCACGAACCCACCCCAGCACGACCCCACCCCAGCACGACCCCACCCCAGCACGACCACGCCCCAGCATGACCACACCCCAGCACGACCACACCCCAGCACGACCACTCCCCAGCACGACCCCACCCCAGCACGACCCCACCCTAGCACGACCACACCCCAGCACGACCACACCCCAGCACGACCCCACCCCAGCACGATCACACCCCAGCACGACCCCACCCCAGCAAGACCACACCCCAGCACGACCGCACCCCAGCACGACCTTACCCCAGCACGACCACACCCCCGCACGACCACGCCCCAGCACGACCACGCCCCAGCACGACCACGCCCCAGCACGACCACGCCCCAGCACGACCACGCCCCAGCACGACCACCCCCCAGCACGACCACCCTCCCAGCACGACCACCCCCCAGCACGACCACCCCCCAGCACGACCACACCCCAGCACGACCACTCCCCAGCACGACCACACCGCCTTGGTTGAGTGGTTGCCTGTCGTCGTGAATGTTCGTGGATGGGCTCATACAGTCCCTCGTGTAATGTTTCGGAAACCGAACGGTGAAATGTTTCGTGAGGTGTCTCGTGGAATGTTTCGTGAGGGTCTCGTGGGCTGTTTTCTGGAGGTGGTCTCGTGGATGTTTCGTGAGGTGTCGCCCAGTTGGATATCGTGAAAACGTGACCATGCTGCACATGTCTATATCCCTTTCCGGGTTCGTGGGTCCATCATGTTTTCCCGGAAAGGGCGGGGGCCCAGGGTTCTCTTTAGTAGGTAAACCTGTCCCCCGGTGCCAACTTGAGGGAGGCCGGCGAATTTTTTCCCTGATAAATAACGAGGTCGAAGGAGGCCGGCGAATTAAATTTTGAGGATGTCTCGAGCGAAACGCTTGTTTTTGAAATCCCGATCGATAAATCACAGGTGGCCACTTTTTCGTGTGTTGAGGATGTCTCGAGCGAAACGCTTGCTCCGCAGAGTTTGCCGAGGATGTCTCGAGCGAAACGCTTGTTTTGCAGAGCCGACCGCGACGCGGAAAAGCGCCCCGCGCGAAGGACTTTCGATGATGTCTCGACTAATTCCTTTGTTTTTGTACGATTTCCTGGAATTTTGGCAGGATGTCTCGAGCGAAATGCACGACCCCACCCTAGCACGACCATACCCCAGCACGACCACACCCCAGCACGACCAGACCCCAGCACGACCCCACCGCAGCACGACCCCACCCCAGCACGACCATACCCCAGCACGACCACACCCCAGCACGACCCGACCCCAGCACGACCCGACCCCAGCAAGACCACACCCCAGCAAGACCACACCCCAGCACGACCACACCACAGCACGACCGCACCCCAGCACGACCAACGCCCCAGCACGACCTACTCCCCGGCACGACACGCCCCAGCACGACCACCCCCCAGAGCAACGACGACCACCCCCCCACCGACCACCCCCCACACGCCCACCCCCCCGCACGACCACACCCCAGCACGACCACGTCCCCAGCGACACACCCCAGCACGAACGACACACCCCAGCGCACGAACCACACCCCAGCACGACCACACCCAGACGACCACCAACCCCCGCACGACCCATCCCAGCACGAACCACCCCCCCTATCAAAGACCACACCCAGCACACCGCACCCCCAGCACGACCTCACCACAGCACGACCACGCCCCAGCACGACCACGCCCCAGCACGACCACGCCCCAGCACGACCACGCCCCAGCACGACCACCCCCCAGCACGACCACCCCCTCAGCACGACCACCCCCCAGCACGACCACCCCCCAGCACGACCACACCCCAGCACGACCACTCCCCAGCACGACCACACCGCCTTGGTTGAGTGGTTGCCTGTCGTCGTGGAATGTTTCGTGGGGTGTCTCGTGGAATGTTTCGCGGGGTGTCTCCTGGAATGTTTCGTGAGGTGTCTCGCGGAATGTTTCGTGAGGTGTCTCGTGGGATGTTTCGTGAGGTGTCTCGTGGGATGTTTCGTGAGGTGTTGCCCCGTTGGGTATCGTGAAAACGTGCCCATGCTCCACATGTCTATATCCCTTTCCGGGTTCGTGGGTCCATCATGTTTGGTGTTGAATAGTGACAGTACCACGAACGTGTGGCAGGGCTATGTGATTCTCACCGTTTTAGCTTTTCCAAGTCACGGACGTGTGGCAGGGCTACGGGACTTTCACCCACTTAGACGTCCCAAGTCACGAACGTGTGGCCATGGGATTCCATGTTCCCAAGTCGCGAACGCGTGGCAGGGCTTTCTGGCATTTTCATTATTTCAGCTTTCCCAAGTCACGAACGTGTGGCAGGAGTATGGGATTCTCACCATTTCAGCTTTACCAAGTCACGAACGTTTGGCAGGGATGTGGGATGCTCATTTCAGCTTTGCCAGTTCACATTTCAGCTTTCCTCAGGTTTCGCGCTCCTCCCACCCCTCCAGGGAGGCCCCGCCAGATCGAGCAGGATATTATTGTACCATGCTGTTTCTTAGGTTTCGTGCTCCTCCCACCCCGCCAGGGAGGCCCCGCCAAAGCGCGGGCGGTGAGAGTGC